TCCCGCCCAGGACACGAGGCAGGTGGCCAACCTTTCCTCTGGCCCAGAGTGACCTGCTGGCCCAGGAGGGCTCTCCCAGCCAGGGTCTCGCTATGTGGGGCAGAGCTGAGAACATGCCAGGACCAGGGCGGGAGGCAGGGGTCTCGCAGCAGTAGCCCATGGATTTATTCCACGTACACTATGGGATGCCCTTCGGTTCAAAAGCAAAGGGGACGGGAGGTGCCGTCTGGCCTCGAGTCCTGGACGCCCCCGCAGCAGACACCCAGAAAAGCAGCCTCAGTAAATGCAGCCTGGGAGGGAGCTGCCACCTCCTGGGTCCTTCCCGCCTGGTCCTCCCAACCCCACGAAGACCTGATTCTACAAACCCTTCCCACACTTGTCACTCTCGCTGGGTCCCCTGGAAGACGTGGCATCTCCCACCCTCCACCCAGAGCAGACAGGCTGCTCAGATGGGGAAGCTGATATGCTTTGTGAAATGCAGATTCTTGGGCCTACCCAGGCTTTTGATTCAGACTCTGGGAGGTGGTCCCAGGAACCTGCATTTTGATCCCAGATGGTTCGGATTCACTCTAAAGCTTGCGAGGCCTGGCCTGGGGTTCCCGAGGAGCCAGCTGCCCCTTGGTTCCAAGCCCACATGGACCAGGAGCTTGCAAACCCAGCGGAAGGAAGCCCCACGTGGCCGGCAGATGGGCAGGAGACGTCAGTGAGACCCAGCTGGCTCGTGTGGAGCCTGAGGTGTGCCCAGACCTGAGGGGCCCCGTAGGGCCAAGGCAGAGAGCCGGGGTACAGAAGCCAGCTGTGAGCGCGAGAGTCAGGCACAGGCAGACAAGATGAAACACGGGACTCCCTCCCGGTGACACCCAGTGTGACCAGGCCCAAACTACCCAACCGCTTCGGCCTCTACATCTTCAGCTATAAAATGGGGGCGCCGGATGGCCTCTTGCTCGTGGGAGCTGGGGAGTTGGAGGGCACTTGTGCCCAGGTCACACAGCTCAACCCGGGGCCCTGACTGCGGTCCCTCTCCACTGAGTGCCCTGATCACTCCCGGCTCTTCTCCCCTCAGGTGCTCGGCTAAAGTGGGCGGAGCCCCTCGTCCCACCCTAGGCTGGCTCTGCATCTGTAACTAAGGGGGCTCACCCCAACTTCTCATGGGTGGGCAGGTGCGGGGAAGCTGGCCTCCCACAGGCAGGGTCCACCCCGCAGCCCCCGCCTCACCAGGGGGGACCCACCACCACCCCTTCTCGGCGCCGCCCAGGGACCCTGGGCTCCAGACCGAGGGCGTAGGAGAAACTTAAGAACTGCCTCGACCAACAAACTAAGTATTGTCTTTTCTAATTAACAATGAGACCTCTTAGTTTTCTAATGCAGTTTGGGAAGCAGGCAACGGGACAAGCACAGAGAAATGCCCCCCGGGCTCAGAGCCCACAGCCACCCAGCGTCTGCCCCTGCAGGTCGGCGTTCCCCCTGGCACTGACCCATCCACGCGCATGGACACACGCGTGCGACCGCACAGGAGCACACGCATGCTCGCCGCACACGCGTGTTCGGCCCCCGGACGTACCCGTGCTCACCGCACGCACGCACACACGCGTGCACTCATCGTACACGCACGCACACGCGTTCGCTCACCGCACACACGTGCACACGCACCCGGCACCCGTACGCACACACGCTCTCCCGCGGCACGCGCGCCGGAGCCGCGGAAGGCGCCGCGTCACGGCCGCGGGCTACGGTCCTGGGGGCCAGGGAGGCAGGAAGCATCGGGCTGAAACCTTCAAGCCCCGAGGAAAGGGCAGACAGGAGGCATGGAGGCCCGCTGTGCGCACACCGGCCCGCTCCGGAGCTCGAACCCGCGGCCCGCGGAGTGTGCGCAGCGGTCATGGAGCAGGCGCTGAGCCGTGCAAAAAAGGGCTCGGAGCATGCGCAGGCCGCGCCCCTGCACGCCCTCGCCTCCAGCACCCACAGTTCCAAGCGCAGGGCCGCGTCCGGAAGTCCGTGGAGCGGATCTCCATTCCTCGTCCTCTGATTCGCTCCAAACCACCTCCATTTCCGTAGGAAGTTCCGAGTCTCTGCCCGACCGTCCGCGAGGCCTGTCGGTGTAGGAAGTGCGTGCGGGCCCTGTTTTGTTTCCGGGGGAATCTCGTTTTCTGAGGGACGCTCAGGACTTCCGCATGTCCCCCCCAGCTTCTGATTGGCTGGTTTTATGAATACATTAGGGCAGGGAAGGGCTAGTTTTTCCACATGCGGCAGCGACTGTGGGGATTTGGGCGATAGTATACGAACAGTGGCGGCTCCGCGCTGTGGGAAGGCGCCCCACCGGCGTACCATTTCGGTACGAGCCCCTCCTTCGCCG